CTGTCCAGCCTCTCCTGGGTCCCTCTCCATGGGTCTGAACTTTTTGTGTGTTTTTTTTTGTTGGCTGGTATGCCAAAAAGTAAGCACAAACTATTTCTTATTCATTTCTAAGTAACCACTAGTTCAATTCTAATTTCATTCTATGAATTTTGACTTGAATGCAGCTTAACTAAATTCTAAGTCACTTCTTATTCTAATTGAATTCCACTTCTATTTCTATTTGCATTCAAATTTGAACCTAAGTGAACTTTAAATTGAATTTGACTTGAGTATGTAACACACTTTTTCTTTAATTCTAAGTTGAGCCTAATTGAATTCTAAATTAAGTCTATGTATTTTAAAATTCACTGTAATCAAATTATAATTCAACTTTTCTTATAATTTAATTCTATTATAGTTCTAATTATGTTTGACTACTCTGTATCTAATATTAAATTCAAATTTGAGCTTACATGTGAACATGCTTCTAATTTAATTCTAAGTTGAGTGTAACTGAATTCTATATAATTGAATTCAAATTGAGTCTGCCATTTTAATCAAATTGAATTTATTTATAACCTAATTCTAAATCAATACTGTTCTACTAACCAAGCCCTAGGTTAAACGTCTCTAATTCAATTCTACCTTAGGTCTAGGTCAATTTCAATTTAAGTAATGGGTTTTGATTTAATGTTGTTCATTCAACTCCAATTTAATTCCATTCTATTTATCAGCTAGTTCTATTTCATTTTGTTTTGCATTAAATTGTAATTTTGTCTATTACAATTTCCAATTTACTTGTAAATGATTTCTAATGTTAACGCCTTTATATAATTCAGATTCAATTGTTTTGCACATCTAATTTTCTAATTTGATTCCAATTCAATGCAAATGGAATTCTAATTGAGGTTTGCTTCCATTCTAGAGAGTGGGCATTGCTGGGGGTGTGAAAATATTTCATTAAAGAAAGCAAAAACTTCCATAATTATTGGAAAACCTTCATAAAAATCTTTCATGCTCAAAGCAAGACCAACTCCCTGGAAGCAAATGAGAATTTCATAAAATCCAAAGTTAAATTGAACAAGCATAAAATAGTAGAATTGAATCTGTATTGTATAGCAATGAAATTAAAGGTAGCTTGAAATCGAACTAACATTTGGCTTGCATTGAATCCCACATAAACTAGAATCTATAGTGAAGGAAACTTGAAGCAAAGTAGAATTAAACCATAGTTGACTTAGAGTTAGATCTAAATTTATATATAAATTTGAATTTGAATTGAATAAGAATTAAAAAAATGGTTATTTAGGGTTTGTAATTACTTGCCTTCTGATTCTGATGTACTTACCCAACTGCATTCAATAAGAGCAATACAATTCGCACTCTAAAAGCACGAAATATGGTTTTGCATGGGGGCTGCGTGGAATTAGATTACTACAGCCAAGAACTATTTAGTAAATACCTAGCCTTATGGACTTAAACATTTTTGTAGTTCATAGTTGAATGAACAAATATGCGTACCAACTGCACATAGAGCAGGAAAATCACAAGTTTCACAACCCTATCAATATGATATCATTCACCAAAAAGAGCAAAACCTTACAAAAGAAGAACTTTCACAACCCTATCAATGTCATATCATCTGCAAAAAGAGAAAAACCTTACAAAATCACAACTTTCACAACCCCACCCCCCATGACTACCCGCTCTCTCTCTCTATATATATCCACCAGATGCAGATTTTGTTGATCCTTACATCCCCAGGTCTCAGCCCACCGAGGGGGGTTGATGGCGTGTCCATGGGTGTTGTACTGAGGTGGTTGGCGCATCACGGAGAATCTTCATGTGAACGCTCGACTGAACAAGGCCATGGCGGAGGGTTCCACGGTCTCAACTAATGGAGAGACCTCCACATACTCATGCAGATTGTTTAGCAGCCCAAAGATTCCAAGTTTTGATCCACACCATGGAACTTGGGTGTGGCTGTTCTCCTTTTCCTGGTCTCACTGAGAGCCTTTCTGAGGCCTTGAGCATTTGGCCAGCACTTTTCGGTGGCGTGTTCTTCAGCTTTGGGGCTTACCTCATGTGCCTAGAGTCAATGTTTCTTGGCACCAGATTGGCAGAGTTTTTGCTGGCATGCATGTGCTGCTTCGTGGGGGAGTGCGGGGTATGGAGAAGCGGGGGCATTTCGATGGGCTTCCTTCCACTCCGCACAGGAATGTGATGCGCGGCAGAGATACTTGGAAGACCAATTTGTTCAATCTACCTTCGGCATTGGTGCCTTTGTCTGCAGATCAAGCACCCTGGTGGTGTGAAGGTTATATAGTTATAGTTATATATATGTATATTCTCTGCCAGCTTAACATCGAAGCTGGCCACGTGCATTGGCGTGAGTAGTGTTTATCATGGAGGAACTGGAGGAAAGAAAACTTTGGGTCTAGTCCAGGCATACCTTGACTCTTGCAACGAGCTGAACCCAGAAGTCACCCGATTCTCAGCAGCATTATATAGATACTGGTAGCACATAGCATCAGTGCTCAGTGGCGAGCCTCTTGAATCCTCTATAGTTAAAGTTATATGTCCTTTGTGTATAAATATGTATATATACATCTATAAACTCGAGCCACTTTCCGGCAATTGCACTTTAGGAGCGGTTTGGGCTTGAGTTTGGGGAAGGCCAAGTTGAGGTTGTCCTCGCCCCACCCAGGAACGCCATATTTGGCCTCGATGGCCTACTTCGCACTGCGCTAAGACCTGCTTTGTTCCTCAGACCTGTTCGGATTCCCTGGCGGATGAGGTCGGCACATCGCTTTATCCCGTTGCATTAGTGGCAAACCTGTGGACACACCTGGAGCCTACGAGCAACCTGCACCTTGCATTGCATAGGCTGAGACAGGGTTATTGCAAACACTGATGCGGGTTAAGGGTTGCCTTCACTCACCCGTTTGCCAGTTTGCTGAATCATCTTTACGGTTGGGATTTCTATCATTTGTGGTGGCGAATGTGTTCTCGTGTGCCGTGTGCCTGAGGCTTTTGTCCACAATTCCCTACACTATTGGAGGCTGGTGTCATTTCCATTCTTGGCCCCAATGCAATGCCGCTGAACTCCAGAGCTTGACATTGCCGCCTTTCCCTTCATGCAGGCATCTTCTTTGTTGTAGCCGGCTTTTTGGAGTGTCTCGAGAACAAGGTTGGGCGGTTGGGGTCTCCACTCCACACTTTTTCCTGGTGACATACTTTCGTTGTCATATCATTTTTACCTCTAGACTCTAGACGGTTTTAGATATCTAGATATCTCAGACTCGGTTCTGTATCTCTAGATTCAAGTGTCGCCTTCTCAGGTCTTCACCACCTCCGCGGCCGAGGGGTCTGCAATCCCCAAGTGTGCTGCTCGGACTGCGAGCTCCGGGCAGATGGGACACTGGTGATGCAAAGGAAATACGGACGGCAGGCTACGGCGGCCATGGTTTCGCGAATGGGTGCTATGTGCACTTAGATCCCATGTGGCACTATGGTTTTAGCAGTCTGTAGTGTCGATGTCAGGGGATTTCTTGAGACCACCAGCTGAATGGAATGCCTGAAGATTAGGATTGAAGTGCTTTGCTGAGATGAAGGAACCGATGATAAGATCTCGTAATGGGCTTCTCCGTGTAGTGAAGGGATGCAGGGATGCGAAGGGCTTGAACAGTACTCGCAGTGAGTAGGAATTAATTTGCACAGAGAACGGGTGGAGCACTCCAAGAACGGCCTTGGGATCTAAGGCAGCTGCCATGAATTTCATGGGCCCTGCCCTGAGAGGTTCTCATGTCAAATCAGTGGAAGAACAGGTCACATGGATGAAGTTGGGAATGTGTGAATTTGTGGAATCTTCCACACCCTTGTGCAAGCTATTCTGAAAGACATGGATGAGAGAGTGTTGAGGTGGGATCTTGTTTGCTCTCGGTGGCTTAGTTCTGCGGCTTGCCTGCAGCTGGGTGCCGAAGAGTTTGAGATGTTCTGCGCTATGAGGTTTTTTCCTCACATGTCTGCGGAAAGCAACATGTGTTATCTGGTGGGCTCACTGCTCTACACCATTGCTAGCAGCCTCAGTGTCGCCCGACTGAGATTTGGAGGATGTCGCTCCGCACTCGTGATGACTTGAAAGGCCATAGAGTTTTAGATGATTGAAAGGACAACGATATACAGTAGAAGGATGGGCCCAGGCGGCCCAGTTGCAGACTTGTGCCTTCAATTCGAGGCAATCCTTCCCTCAAGTGATCACGAAAGCTAGCATCAGCTAGCTGGAGTTGCTCTTGCTTTAGCAAGTCAAGGGCTCGCAGCCTCGAGAATCATGAATCACGTGAAAACTTCACGTGTAGGGCCCCCCCCCCCGCGGGTTCAACTCCCCCCTGGGACGCTTCCGGTACGTGCTATAGTGCTATGTTTAGGTGGCAGGTGAAGTAGGCCACTGTTTGAGTTTGGAAGGGGGGGGCATGAAACATGAAATTTACGCGAGGGTTCAAGGCTTCAATGATGAGCATCACGGGAAGTCAGAAACCAGGCGTATCAGATACAAGTGCCTTTGAGCTTCCTTCGGCATCTCAGTGCATATGGCTGACACTTCACTCGACAAAGATGCTCAAACAAACATACATAAGCCAGGTGTATCTGATACGCCTGGTTTGTGACTTCCCGTGATGCTCATGATGCTGCGTTGCTTTTCTTCAGTCCCTCATTACATATACATGACAATCCAACAGCAGATTCAACAAGCTCACATGTTCATGACATCGACATCGATAGAAGAAACCAAACAAATCATGCAAGCAGCTTTGTTTTGCCTCTGGGACACCTCTTGGGCACCTCTTATGGCATCCAAACTGGTTCAACTCCTCCGTGGAGGTTTTGGGATACAGTGCAACAGATTCAACAAGCTCACAGGTTCGTGAACACATCGGATGCATCGAACAGTGTGGCAAAGTCCAGCCACGCTTCCTTAATTATCGGGGACTTCAATTCTAAGGTTGGCAGTGTCATTGCTGTTTGTGTGTCTTACATGTTCACAACGTTTTACCTCATGAGCATTTGCCTCACTCCGCTTGATGTCCCACCAGTCCGGATGCACCCCTCCTAGCTTTCGTCACCTACCCTCGGCCTCAAGTTTTGGATCTTCAGTCTTTTGATGTCCATGCTGTGGGCCTTTGGGGGGGCCAAGGGCCGCCGTTGTCTCAGGTGATTTTGTGGAAGGCCTGCATCAGACGCTTGTAGCTGGCCAGACGAAATAGCGAAAAGGCAGCTGCGAAAAGGCAGCTGAAGGGCCTGGGCTTCTCACAGCTCGCTTCCAGGACGAGCAGTTTGGCTTGGCCTACTTGGCAGCTTTGAACCACATGAGCGGCCAGGCCTGGAGCGTGCGGTGCTTCAAGTTAAGCTGGTGACTTCAAACACTATCTAGAAAGTAGCCATAGCTCTGACACAACAATAGGCATCATTGAATCAAATCTGCCAGGTGCTAAGCATGCTGATGTCTACTGATATGTGTGCGTGTAGAGTATACAGTACGCCATTCTTTGCCGTTCATTCACAGTTAGGCAAACATGCCTGCCAATCCACGGCAAAGGATCGTGCACGATCCTGGATTGGTGGTCAGCAATCTGGTGCATTTTCAGCTCCTTCGCGGCGATGCTGCCATGAATTCATGAGTTTTCTGCATTGTGATTGTTTGTTTCTCAGAGAATGACCTTAAGGTGAGAGGAATTGTATTCATCCACCTCTACTGCGTCGTGTCTGTCGTTGTTGCTTGGCTTGACTCTTGGGCAAGTGCCTGGCTTGTGGCAGAGATGGTTTGCCCAATCTAGGACAAGCGTGAGGTCGGTAAACAGTTGACAGATTTTCAGTGAATCAACTTCAATCCGCCCCAAAGGAGGTTGGCCTTACTATGTGGACTGACTCAGATGAATCACGTTCCCCACTCGTCCCGCAGGCAGTGATGAACTTTTGCCTCTCCTTGAACCACTTCCTAAGTTCTCCTAACCTCTTCACCATGACCCGTGCGGGTAACGATGCTTGGAGAGCATGAGGCGATGCGACCATTGCATCAATGTGTGCACAGAAAGCTTATTCCGCTAAAGTAAATTGTGTTGGTAAGGCCGAAGCAAGGACCACCACAAGCATTGTCCCACTCAAGGGGTGCTCATTGCTTTGGTTCAGATGAGGAATCAAGCTGAGGAATTTCTGCCTTTTGTCTTGCTCCACTTGGTCTTGCTCATGCACTCTGCAGTGGTGAAGACTCCAAAGACCCAGCCCTTTCACGCACTGCTCTCAGCAGCAGGGGTTGCATGCGTGCTTTGCCTCGGATTTGAATGGCTTTCAAGCTGGCCTTGCCTTGATGAAGCCGAGGCTTTGGTCATGTCACTTCGCTTCATTACAGTCGTGTCTTGGACGCAGGAGGTTGAACCATGTCGTTGTGGCTGGGGGGACAGGCCGAAGGCAACGTTCTGGATTTTAGGGTCAGGGAGTCAAGGAGAGCTGTTTGGGTGGAGTTGGTTAGATTTGGAACCTCTTGGGCGAAGAGAGGTGATCATGCTCCTGGCACTGGGCACTTTCATCGCAGGCAGCTTGGCGTAGCCCCACGGTGGAAGCGGTGGAGGGTTTAGGGTAGGCGCCCCGCTCTGCAATCTAAAGGGGCATGTGGAAGGGAGCCTCTAAGATCAAAACTCTTGAACCAAGCACTTCACCGAAGTTAGGTCACCGCTGCCCATGCCTTTGGCCAGCCAGACGTAGCCAAAATTGAGTTGTGTTTCTCAACCGGAAAGCAGCGGGGTGACAAGAGTGAGAGCAAGAGTCAGTCTACTTTCTTTGCAATCTATACGGTTCTTTGTTTTTTTTGCGTCTCTTTGTTCTTGACTCTGCCAATGTAGATTGAATGAAAGACAGACCAGCTGTTGTAGTCATTGCATCTCATGGCCAGGCCTCATGCATCCTCCTCCGCCTCCCATGATTGAGCGCCACTCGTTGCGTTGGCACTTCCGGCCACGACCTTTGATCATTTGAAGCTATGGCAGCTATGGCCGCACGGCCGCTGCCGCATCCAAGTGACCTAAGAGCATGATGACCGAGCGAAACTTCTCCTTTGAACAAGACCTGGCCCGAAGTGGGGGATATTGGGAGATGCTCATCCGTCACCTGTGAATTGCGGCCTTTGTGGTTGTTAAACCCACTATAATTGAGAATCGTTTCTGATAGTCAGAGAGAGTGAGAGTCGCGAGAAAATGTGTATGGCGCGATGGGGATTATATAATGATGCAAAAAATCATGCCTTTCGAAGCCATCTTCATTTTGCTTGGAAAGACGCCATTGAAGCTGTAGATCGAAGCCTATCCTGAGAGAGGCACTTCAAGGCTTTGCACTCATGTCCCCACTTTTTCCACGATTCTTCTTGACGTTTTGATACAAGTTGTGTCCCACAGGCCGAAGAATTCCAGTGTTGCGATGAACATTTTCCAGAGGAACAGTTTTGTAAGGGGCAAGGCTATACACTGTGTTTCGTGGTACGGGCTGCTCAAAGCACACACCAACTGCGTTTTTGAAACTTGGGTGATCTAACCAACCATGTCAAGTATTTGCTGCGTTTTTTGGGCTTCGCCCTCGCCATGTCCTGCCTGCCCTGCTGTTTTGGGGGCCGGGCCGCTTGGGCCGCTGGCTGCCGCGCAGATGCACCCCGCGCGCAACTGAGCTCCGGGAGCATCCTCGGGGAATACGCTGGGAGTTCCGAGCATTTTGCCGGCGTCCCCTTCGCGCAGCCGCCCGTGGGCCAGCTTAGGCGTGAAGAGAGGGTTGTTTGGGGAGGATGGGGCATGATTCTGATTGCGGTACGATGGGTAAGGACTTGCACTTTGGAATTTCTCCTGGATTTCGCAGGTGGAAGAAGCCGGCACCTGTGGAGCCGTGGCTTGGCGACCTAGACTGCACTTCCAATCGTGCAGAGCGCCTTGGGCGGCCAGTGCAGGCCGTGGCGCCTCATGAAGATCGCCAACCTGCAGAGGCGCGGCCGGGTTTCCTTGGGGCTGGAGGGTGCGGCCGGTGGCTCGTTTTATGGAATGTTTATGCTTTTGGGTAGATGTTTGTTTTTGTAAAGATGCCTTTGTGGTCCCCGCAGCCACTGCATCGTGGGATTTTGCTGAGCCGACAGGATTGTCTCCACTTGGACCTGTGGCTTCCGCCTGGAACACTGGCCTCACCAATGAAGAAGCAACTCCCAGTACTGGTTTGGATCTATGGGGGTGGATTGCTCTCGGGATCCAAAGATGATCCGGGCTCCTCGGGGCAAGGCTATGCCGAACAGGGGGTGATCTTCGTTTGCATCAACTACCGGGTGGGAGCTTTAGGCTTCCTTTGTCCACGCAATGGTGATGCCAACTGCGGACTCTGGGATCAGGTCTCTGCACTGGAGTGGATCCAAAGAGAAATCGGAAACCTCGGGGGAGATCCAGCGCAAGTGACCATCATGGGGCAGTCTGCTGGAGGAGATTCAGTCTACTGGTCCGCCCGTCGAGCTTGTTTGATGACGCGCGCCTGTGGCCTCTGAGACGTTTGCCACACCTTCCTTTTGCACAAGCAGAGTCAGAGAGCAAGGCAATGTAAAAAAAAATATTTATACACATAACTCTCTCTCTCTCTCTCTATTGATTTTGCACATATGATTCATATGATGTATAACTTCTCGTGGGCAAAGGACTTATTACAGAGAACATCTTGACGCCCTAGTTGGCACTTGTACCTTTGCAGATGCTTAGTTCCAACCAAGTTTGAGTCTCGCCATGGGTTGTTGCGGTGGCGATGATGACGACGAGGACGTCAATGACAACCCCGGACCTGATATTAGCAGAAGGCAGTTGGAGTGAATTCAATTGAGATTATTCAAAGCCCACTGCTCGAATGAAAAGCCACTACGTTCGCTCAAAGGTTTGGTTTGATTGATGCTTTGCCGCAGGTGCACAGACCTGTGCTGCAGCTTGGGCCGAACTGGATTTCAGTCCGTTCGGTTTGGTTTGTTGTGGTTTGTCCTTACAGTCTTGGACTTCCTGCAAGAGGCATTTTGGAACCCGTGTGCCTCAGGCTTGCCAGTGCTATTAATCTTCACCCTGTGGCCATTGTCCGTCATCCTTTTGCTCAAGGACCCCGAAGTGATTTTTGGCTTTAGCCCGAGACTGAAGCTTCCAGGACGTGGATGGAGCTCTTGCCCTCACTCATGGGCATGACCACTACGGCCAGTTCTGTGGCCGAGAGAAGTTGAGAGACAAAGGGTATGTGTTCTATCCGGACCTGTCAACTGATTTGAAGCAGGCCCGTGCTTGATTTGGGCATTTGAGACCACTGGGCCACCGGGTTGTTGGTGCCTGTGGCTTTTGCCTTCGCAGGACCCTTCGCTCATGAACCGCTATGGAGTTTGTGTCGAGAAGTGCCCTGACCAGTTTGGCAAAGCAGAAGACTATCCCGGAGAAGGTGGGATGCCGATGAGATACCCGGAGAATCCCACATGGCACCTTGGACGGCATTGAGAATCCACATGGCCTTCCCTCCACACCTTCTCAAGCCTCACTCACAGGCTCGCAGATTTGCCGACCTTTGAATTAGCTGGGCGGTGCATTCCGTATGACCCACCGCCCAACTACACAACGGCTGTGGAGAGCCTGGGCTGCACAAATTCACAAATCAAGCAGCACTGAGCAGATGGTTTGTTCATTTTCTTTGAAATTGAGGAACATGCGCCAGAGGAAGCTTGCAAAGGAACTCCTCCCAGAAATTGTTAAACACTCAGGTTTTGTGGCGACCCCCAGTGCAAAGTGATCGACAAGCAATCTATGAAGCTGGAGCTGAATTATGTGCGACCATTCTTTCGATTTTTTCTTCAAACAGTGTGGACACACTAGGGGTTCTTACGGTCAGGGTGAAGCACCGGTGTCTAATCGAGGTGTTGCACCGGGGCGTCCGGCTAATTTGCTGCTATTTACAGTTCAGTGCATTCATGCCTCTCGAAATCCGTTAAATGCACTTCGACTGCGCAGGTTCGCAAAATCTGGTGGGCTGGCGCGGGTGCTTGTTGCGACTGCGCTCTCGTTGGGGTGCCGTGCGCATTTTCGGACAGGCGCAAGGCGCAAGGCTAAGGGAAACCTTGTGTTTTGGTGGTCCAGGCGCAAGGGATCGGAGCGGCTTTACTCCGAAAAGTAGGCTTCGTGACAGGCGCTGCACTTTGGGCATGGTGGTGATCTTCGACGCGCTCTGACTTCGTGACAGGTGCAGTGAATCGTGTTTTTCTGCATGTGGCTCGTTTTCAGAGATCGTGGCAAGTGCAGCACACTTTGTGGACCTTGAAGTGCAGATTTCGTGGCAGGCGCAGTACTTTGTGAACCTCGAAGTGCAGATTTCGTGGCAAGCACAGCGCTTTCTGAACCTTGAAGTGCAGATTTCGTGGCAGGCACAGCGCTTTGTGCTCTCAGATGCTCACTCTCACTCACTCTCTCACTCACACCGTTCTCACTCACACTCGCACACGCTCACGCTCACGCTCACTCACGCTCACTCACCTCACCTCACCTCGCCTCGCCTCGCCTCGCCTCCCCTCGCCTCGCCTCGCCTTGCCTCGCCTCGCCTCGCCTCCCTCACCTCACTCACCTCATTCACCTCACTCACTCCCTCACTCACTCCCTCACTCACACCCTCACTCACTCACTCCCTCCCTCCCTCTCTCCCTCCCACTCCCTCCCTCCCTCCCTCCCTCACTCACTCACTCACTCACTCTCTCTCTCTCTCACATTCAGTCTCACTCCACCACCGCCATCACCACGATCTCCACCTTCATCACCACCGCCACCTTTGTGGACCAAAATGTGTCCAAAAGATCCCTAGACTCTCTGCTGCTACACCTCTAGGCTCTAGACCTCGCACGCACTGTTTGGGGTCTCTTGCCGGGATAGCTTGCATAGGTTTTTTGTTTTTTGGGCACTGTTTTGTAATTTTCATCGCCCGTTTCGCCCCAAGGCCCAGTAGTCCACGTGAAGTATGTGGCTTGCACAGGGACGGCACCTGGAACTTTTGGCTTCTGGAAAAGGCAGGCGTTTGCTCGGGAACTTGAGCCTCTTGAACTGAAGTCTTGCGGCATCAGTTTAAGGATCTAGTCTCAGAACACGAAGCAGCACGTAGAGAATCACTGCTCTGCTCCTTTTGCGACTCCACTTTTTTGTGCTCGCCAAACCTGAAATGTGGAGGTGTGATGAGGTGTGATGGTTGTCTAAACATCGTTTGGTCCTTCCTTTGGTCTTCCCTGTCGGTTGACTATCCATTTTGGAAGCTGCGCTCGTCTGAAGGCCGATGATGCTCTTGTGGATGGATGGCGGCGGGAAGGCGTTGAACCGAAGGCCGGAGATGGTGGGTCCGATGGAGTTTGGAGGTTGACAGAAGGAAAGTATATCAGAAAAAAAGGAAGGTCAGGTTCCCTTAAAGCGGGGCATTCCTTGCATTCCTTTTTTAGATATCAATCTTACGTATCCGTTTAAAATTGTCCATTTAGAATTTGTAGCCTTGTCATTGTACCTTGGAAGGTTTGGGAGGTGGCCTTTGTGTCGGAATGACGGCAGAAAACCTTCACCTATGCCAACTATTGTGCACAAAGACGAGGTTTTTTTGTTGATCTCAGGAGCGCTACTTCTTGTAGGGCTAAGACCCCAGGCTGTGGGCAACAAGCAAAAGAGGTAGCCACACTCTTGGCTGAAAGCCCAGCTCTAAGGCCTCTAGGGTACTCAGTGCCATTGGAGCACGTGATCGCAGCCATTATCTTTGTTGGGCGGGCACTGACACCACTTGTGCAGGACTGTTGTGTTCGTCAAACTACCTACCCGTTTTTTTAAAAGTTGCATCACTTTGATGTGCATAATGTAATGCTACACACATAAATACAACGGTAACGCTTAACTTCTTCATGGACGCGCAACCTGATGTGCCCCTTTGCTGGCAAGATGCTTCGACAGACGGGGGCATGCTGTCTCTGGCAAATGCAGCTGTTACACAGGAAGTGCAAGACGCTTTAGCACCAGTGATGAGTGGCAGCCGGGAGGATTTCCAGAAACTTCTTTCCGCACTTGCCTCTCCCCCTTCTAGTGTTTGCCTTCGTTGCACATCTATTGACTGGGCTTCTACTATGAATCGCCAGGATGGCAAGGCGGTTTGTCCAGGGTCGACGGACCTGGAGGGCTACATCAAAAGAGGGCTTCTAGAAATCGCGAACGAGGTTCCTGCTACCGTTTCCTTCCACCTGGAGAAAGCGCCTGCTCCAGTCCATTGCCCGGAAGCTCGGATCATCATCGGCCAGGGTGGTAATCCCAGCGCGACGATTGCCGGCTACAACACGGCTACCGGACCTGCCAAAGACAGCGTGGAGGCGGATTTCATCATTGATGCCACCTGTGGTATGGCCGTGCTGCGTGGGGCCGATGTGTTTTGCATGGGCGTCATGGGCGCCAGTGCTAAGCTGGTGGAAGGTCAGCGGGTGCGCCTCTGGGTGGTGCCGGAGGGTGTTAGGCCACCGAACCGCGGCACTGTCTTGGTGGAATCACCTGCGAAGTGGCCCGCTGTCCTGGTGGCTGGGGGCCGGGTGCTCTTGCCGAGGACCGCCATCTTCGCTAGCGCGTTGAGGGGCCCGAAAGGTGCTGCAGTGAAAGTGTTGTGGCGACGTGGGCAGGGTGCGCCATTGGCACCTATGAACCAAATCTTAGCCAATGCAGAGTTGCAAGGAAGAGTTTTGCTTCAGCAGTTGCCCAGTTGCCTGTGTACTCGAGTCTTGAGCCCTTGTCCAGGACATCAAGTTCTTGATATGTGTGCCGCGCCTGGTGGTAAGACCACACACATCGCTCAACTGCTGGGCCGAGGCTTGGGCCTCACATCCATTGATCGCTCCTTGGCCAAGGTCCGCCGCATCGAGGCCCTTTGCATGGCACACGGCTGTGATCAGGTGCGATGCCTGGCGGCGGACTCGCGGCACCTCCTCCGTGACGTTGCTGTGATGGGGTCTGGTTCAGAGGGCTGTGACGGTGATGGCCTAGATGAAGCCCCATGGCCACCTGAAGCTGAGGCAGCCTTCCAAGAAGCCGTGTCACAACACGGTGCCGACCGCTTCCGTAGCAGCAAGCGGATCTGGAAGGCGGTGATTGCAGCAGTGGGGCGGGGCCCAGTGACGCGGATGCAGGTGAATGCACGCCTTCGCGCAGTGGAAGGGCAGTTAAATCGGCCACCAGATGCTGGAGGCCCATCAGGGCCGCCCTTCGCAGAGAGGTCCTTCGATCGCATTCTGCTGGATCCACCCTGCTCAGCAATGGGGCAGAGACCACTACTCCGATGGGGTAAGAGCATACCAGAGATTGAAAGCCATGCAGACTATCAGCGACAGTTCTTGTCCGCAGCCAGCAAGCTTTTGGCGCCAGGCGGTGAGCTTGTGTATAGCACGTGCACTTTGACCCCGCAGGAGAATGAGGAGAATGTGGCTTGGGCACTGCAGAAGCTTCCTTTGAAACTGCTGGATGCACGAGAAAAGATTCTGCAGACTGAGCACGGCCAGAACACTTGCCGCCTCGTCGGACTTTCAGAGTGTGGCCTCAGCACACACCACAGAGAAATGGTCCTCAGGTTTGATCCTCAGAGTTGGGATGCCGGCTTTTTCATTGCGAGATTTGAAAAGTTGGACCACTCAAAATGATAGGACATCGTTTATATGCATGATGGTTCCTGGCTCGCATGCAGAGATGGCCCTTGTGGAGCTGTAGGGCATGAAGAAGAGTTGGCTCTAGAGAAGCTGGTTTATGATGATATGTGAGGTACGCATTGCCCAAACATTAGCTCGCGATGTGTGATTTGACTTGGGTGTGACGAGCTAGAACTAGTCCGCAGTCTACCCGGGACTTGCGGGACTTTGTGCAGTTGAAGGAAGCTGGCAGGCCCAAAAAAGACTTGCAATGGGATTGGAGAGCCTGAGGCTTGGCATTGAGGTCATTTCAAGACGGGCTTGTAATAGAGTGATTTTGCAGGTCATCGACGCTCGCGTAGAGATGGCGGGAAGCGGCAAGGACGATTGTGCCACGGCAGATTCGGGTGCATGAGATCAGCACTGGCTACTGCATGAGAACATTCGATCACGCGATTCATTCCTGCCTTTCTCCTTGAATGATCTCGCTCAGTGACCGAGGCAAAGTCAAAGTCCTCCGCGAGACGCGCGTCAGAACAGAATCAGCTGACACTCATGTCATCATCAGCCTCCTTACCAAATACACTGGATACCTCTTCCGAGTGCAGCCCATCCGCAGTAGCAGAACGTCTTGGGAATTTTTGGTCTTTTGGGTCAAGGTTGATTCACTGGGGAGTCTTTTGAGTTGGCTGAGGTCCACGCAGATCTATGACAACAGGGCGCCGCTCACTAAGAGTTGTTGGCTGCCAGAACGGGCATTGCGGAGTTGTGCATGCCTTCCAAAACAGCCTTGGCATACTTGGAACAAAAGGGTTTTCTTCCCTCTAGTCGCTTTGAGGATTGTGATTGGCTTGGGTGTTGGTGGCTCCATGGTACTATCATTCGTGAGCGCCTCAATTGGCAGGACCCCACAATACCTCTCAGAAGCACCCCTAAGCCAACCAAACCTGCAGCCCAGATCATCGTCATGGGCTTTGCCTTCTGTGGCTTGGCTTTATGATGGGCTTGCCTGCCATGCCTGACAATCAAAGAGCCTTGGGTCGACACCCTAGAAGTCTCAGCTGCTCTCAAAGGTGTGCAATGCATCCTGCTGCCCAGATGCGATTCAGACACCAGCAACATGGAATCATAGAAACAGAAGCAGCTGCCAAATTGTGGTTTCTGCATGCTTCTGACTCCAATGCTTTTGCTTTTGGATTTTGTTGCGCAGTTTTCCTCAACCCACGACCGGGTAAGGCTCATTGAAGCTACGCCGTGTCATTGCCCACGCATGTTGACCGTGAGTCTAAGACTGCTAAGGAATGTCTTGATGACGTGCCTGTTTCTAGTTCTAATCTGTATGGACTACGTGCTCTTTTTCCAGGCAGGCCGGTTCTTCCTCTCCTTCACCCATCTCATGCCGACCCAATCCCAGTCACTGCAAACAGGCTGGTCTGATTACTGGAAGGAAGGGCCGCATGATTCTGGACGCCTTCGGCAAAGCGGTGAACGTGGAAGTGCCGGACCAGCACCTCGCTTGCAGATCGGCGTTTGAGCAGAGCAGAAGTGGGTGCCAAAGTGACCAAGGATGGAAGCGTTGTTGCAAGAGCAGGCCAACACGGAGGAGTGGCAAACCATCTACAAATGGTCATCCTCTTAGCTTCCGTCATCAGAACTGAAGCGAAAGTCCCACAAAATGACCTACATGCACGGTCACAGGGTTTTGCCAGAGGTTTCCAACCAGTACTCAGCACTCAATACGTTGTGCAAATGACTGAAGCAAACCTAAGTTAGCTGGGCATTGCTTGAGCATGCCTCGACAGAACAGAGCAAATCGCAGTTCTTGAATTTCTGTTTCTTGGGGTTTTGTATTTGCTGGAGGGCAGGGGTCGCCAGAAGTTTTGCGGAGAATCTGGACAAACAACATGCAGCTAGGGCGTTTTGGAGAGATTGCTGCGCTGTGAGGTTGGCCATTGGTCTTGCCGTTGGCATCGTCCTTTTGGCGTGTGCTGCCATGGCCACCCGAGAGCCTTGCCATACATGAGTGAGCCAATTTCAGTTCGCTTCAAGGATGGTTTCCAGTGCCCCTCCCGTAGCATGTTTTTGAGTGCGGGGCTTGATCTAAGAAGAATTTCCGGATATTGGTGGCACTACTCAAAGAAGCATCAACCACCATGCGAGCCTTGGCATAGAATTGAATGCCTTCGTAAGGCGGTTGCACTTTGAGAAATGCCCGCAGTTCGTGGAAGGTGAGATGCCGTCACTACTCCTTACGCCTTTCATCCTGTCCTGCAGTATGGTTGCTGTGTCATTGATGCTGCTTTGGGTGACTTGCCATATGAGTTAAACTCCCTTGACGTGGACAAGTTTCAAAAGAGCTAGTGTGTGACGGACCTGCGGCCAGGTGGCCCTTACGATCTCAACAACTCGAGCTGTTGACATTCCCAACATCATAGAGGCATGCCGTCGTGCGCGCAGGGGACCAACCAGATTGGCTGTCCGCTTTTAATGCCTTGATGGGTGCTCCCCTTTGAGAGAACTTCGAGAACCTACATAACTTGTCCCCTAGACTTTACCTACAGCCCTGGCCTAGCTCGGAAAAATATGCAACAATATAGACACACATAGTTACATGCGCAGCATCCGCCCAGCGGTTAGCCGCTCAGCCGAGTTGAGAATGCATCGATGCAGGTTTGGCAGGCCCATCTCCATCCCATGCTGGAATCGCTGGGGCTACGCCAAGACTCACTGCGGCAAATACAGCAGAGACCTGGCTATGTGGTGCTCGCAGGGTGGCAGCTGCATCAGATGCAGAGAATCCTGCGTGGTTGGTAGAAGAAACTCACAGCACCACCCTCAACTTGGTGGAAGGGGTTGGTTCTGTTCTAAACGGCCACGGGCATTTCCATGCGGAGATACTTGTATGGAGACCACGGAAGAGTCTGACGGAAGAGAAACATTACGTGGCGCAGTATTCTGGAGTGCACCCAAGAACTCCAACCAAACCATGACATGACGACTTGCTGACGAGGATAGCTCTGGTCTTCAACCTGTTTGTGCCACTTAGACTCAGCTAGCGCATGAATCGCATCGCACGGCTCACAGTCACACCAGTCATGTCTTTTAGGCCGGTTGGGACTATCAAACTGAGGTTCCTCTTCAGCTACTATCTCCACGTTGCAGTTTGCATCTCTGTGACCGCCATGTGCGTGTCCCATTGGTACTTCTACAGGGATGATGCTGAGAGGAATGCTGGCACAGGCGAGTTGCAGACTGACGGCCAACTTGGGGTCAAAGGGCCATGTCCAGTACCATGAGGTACAATATGTTTAGCACCTGGTTGCAGTTGGCAGCAAACATACAAACCCACGATGTGTCCCACACAACTGGGCACTTTTCCCCTGAAACGTGCTGGGTGCTGCGTGAAGGAGACTGTCTGGTCCCGGGGTGCTGTTGGTGTGATCACGAAAGCTAGCGAAGCTAGCTGGAGTTACTCTTGCGATAGCAAGGTTTCTTTCGACCGGGTGCAAATCCTAACCCCTGATTTTTCAGGTCGAAGCCCCCCCCCCCCCCCCCCCCCCCTTCCTCCCCTCTCCCCACCTCTCCTCTTCCCCCCCTCTCCTCCTCCTTGTCTTCCTCCCATCTTCCCTCCCTCCCTCCTCCCTCTTCGCAAGTTCGACTCCGTCCTGTCGTCGCTCTTTGGCATGCGGTTAGCGTTGCGTATCTTGCGGCCGCACTCGCTCACTCTCACTCTCACTCTCTCACTCTCTCACTGTCTCACTGTCTCTCTCATCTCTCTCATCTCTCTCATCTCTTTCTCATCTCTCTCATCTCTCTCTCCTCTCTCTCTCTCTCCTCTCTGTCTCTCGTCTTTCCGTCTCTCTTCTCTCTCTTCTCTCGCAGGAGGATCCGGGCAAAGAGCCACATATAAAGGACTCTTCACCCCTGCCTCCAAAAAGAGCGCCGTGTTTTTTCCTACCTCGCTGCCCTCCACTTTCCCATTCTGGAGCGCTAGCTTTCGCCCCCCCCCCTTGGCCTCAAGTACAAGTTGTGTCATGAACATGAGCAACTTCAAAGAACCATGATCACTCGATCTAGTTGAGGCACATGCAGCACCCACCTCACAAAGAGAGGAGCAGTCTTTTTCACTGAAATGTCTATGATTCTGTCTACCCCTGGATATCGAGGCATTAACTCCGAAGGTTGGTTCTTTGGGCGCCCCATTCTGCTCGCCTTCTGTCGAGTCTGTCGGCATCACTTGGGATCGCTGGTCTTTGGCTCCTGTGCCTTGGTCACCTGGATCTGAGGTCAAGAAAAAGAGAGGAGGTCAAGAAGCTACTGTAAAAAGGAGGTCCCTGGAATAGGGCCCTCCAAAAGGGGTCTTATCAAAGAGGGTCTTATAGCATTGTTTTCAAGAACATTCCTCATACAGCTAAAGATGTCGATGAGTTTTGTGAACTGATGTGAGCTGCAGGTATCATTGCTTTGGCGACTCTTCTGCGCAACTTGTCACCAAGGGACTTGACGAGACATATGGTAGAATTTCAGTGATGCGGGCGCAGACTGGGAAGATGAGGCATCATCTTTGAATATGTGGCTGCCAAGACCAAAGAGCAGCAGGATCTCTTGTGCCATCATGGGGTCCATCCTACTTATATAGGTGTTACGGAACAAGCTTCCAGAGCAGACACTAGGCGAGTTGCCTTGAACAGCTTGCAGCTGGCATGTCCCGAGGAGTCCAATCCTGCATTGAAGGTCCTGTTCTGCATGTGCCGCTGTAGCCTGTGGTGCCTGGAAAAGTGCTTGTCCTTCATCACTGAGTACGCATATGCTAGGGCCCCAGGCTGCACCATGTGCGATTGAAAGGATTGCTCATGCGAACTAGCTTCAAGGTCTATGTCGCTGTGACCGGGAAGTCGTTTTGCTCCTCCGCTCGCTCCTCCTTTGTTTTCTTTGCCAAGTATCCACTTCAAACTGCGCTGGACAAGATGGCATCAACAGTGCCTGCGTCGCAGTTTGGTTCATCCAGCATGATTTGTGCAGCATTCACTTTTTGGCGAGGATTTCAGCGCGACCCTGTCAGCAGCTAATCTGACCCAGTCAGATGGTGTAAGTCAATTACTTACTGTAACTCTAGGCCCTTGGCCAAGGCCCTTGGCTACCTTCTATGCATCACAGTTCCCGCTGGCTTGGTCGTGGTTGGCTACTTCTGTGGGTTGAAGGATGCTTGGCCAGTTTGTGCGCTGGTCATTGCGGGACTGGCCTATGCTCGGATCTCAGTCTGAACTCGCTCCACTTGTTTGTGCGGAGCCAACAAGACCTCGCACGAGTGACACATGCAACCAGAGCTTCCTATACACGAGCTCCTCTTGAATCCTTTTTCTTTGAAGCTGTTCTCTATGAGGGAAGTGGCAGGTTGCCGAGGTACAGACAAATGTTTCACAGTACGCTACAAACCTTTGTTTGTTTTGTTCTTTTGTGCCAGCTATCCTAGGTCACGACACGTCTTGCCGCTGGCATCTACGATGTGTGCATCACGACCCTCTTTGTATGCGCTATGCGTGATTGTGAGCATTATGGCGGGCGAAACTTGCCCAAGATTTATATAGTCCTCCAACATTTGCACCTTCAGCAGTGGGTGCTTCAGGAAAGGGTGCCAAACACAGTTTCAATTCTGGAAAGTAGACAAATTAGTACCCATTGGTAGGTAGTGGTAGCCCTTGCCGGTTCTTGTTTGGCTGCATGCCAGTTCAAAGCACTGCTAAGGATACATGAGCAAAAGCCTGCGAAGCGCTTGTGGCTTCCAGGAGCTGGTGCGTGCCAGCTTAGCGCAGGATGGCATTGAGTTGCCGGATGCAAGCTGAATGAGAGATGTCAAGTTAAGATAAGTTAAGAGCTTAGAGAGCTTCTTAAGTTTAGAGTTTAGTTGGATTTTTTGTGCCTCCTACTGAAACTGGGGGTGTTATTGCCCCTGAAAGTGGACATGAACATTCCATTGATTAACAAATGCACCTCGTCCCCAAGCCAATAGTATCATAGTCCATTCGGTGACATTCAATCCCACCCGAATATTGCAGTGGTTCAGTGCTGCCCTGGCTTGGGAGAGGGTACCTGATGCATTTAAACATCAGCTGATGTGAGGGCGTTGGTTGACAACAAAGACTTGCAGCCAACCTAAGAAGCCCAGCAGCAGCATCGATCGCAGAAAAGGATATGTCCGTTGCCCTCCACCATCTTACAATCCTGATGTCACCAGTGCATGTGGTGGCTTATGACAGCTTACATAAGTAGTACTGTATACCCATGAATGGCTCGCCGCTGCCCCGCCCCGCCCCGACCCTAACACGTACACACAGGAAATGATGGACTGGCGAAACAGACCCTATCTCCCCTCCAATCCCTCCAAGTTCTTTGCCAGGCTTTGCGCATCACCAGTTGCGAATAAGTTGTTTGCGAGGGCGATCATGATGAGTCAATGCCTCGGCGCACAGAAAAGGTGCGGCAGAAATGACTGAGATCATTGTCATGAGGCCCAGCATCTTTCACCATCACTCCGGATCAGGCATGCGGCATGGACACTCCGTGTGCATAGAACAGTTCTGGCCATCAAGACTTGTTGAGCATTGGAGAGAGAAAAAGAGAGGGGAACAAGGGCAAGGGAACTTGATAGTTCCGCTTCCTTCCCAGATTCACAGGCCTACGAATTGGCTGATGAGTTTGCGGCCAATGCCGAGGACCTTCCGTCTCTGCTTCATAGCTAGCTGCTTCTAGTAACAAGTGCCTTACTAGTAGTAACAAGGACGCTACTAGGGGCTCCTGGCCTTACTACTAGGAACAAGAAGCTACTAGGAACAACTGCATCGCTTCTAGTAACAAGTGCCTTGAGTGCTCTGGGTTCTGCACGAACGCCAGGCCGATTCGGGAGACCTTGCAGATATGCAACAGCTGTCCGTAGAGGCCAGGTGATTCTACTAGAAGCGATGCACTTGTTCCTAGTAGCTTCTTGTTACTACTAGTAAGGCACTTGTTACTAGACGTGATGAAACTTCTGTGACAGCGGGCTCAGGCAATCTTGCACGCGCAACAGCAAGGAGTATACAGCGTGTTTCTCATTGGGTGGGGGTAGGTTCGGACATCATTCTGTGTTGTTCCTGACTGGAAGGACAAGTGCATCGCGCTGATCTGCACTTCACATTCAGCTTCTCCAGTCTCCCTGCTTCTGACTGAGGAATCTTCCCAACGATGGGGCCTGGTTGGCGAGAACTGATGTTTGGGGGGTGTTGACCTTGGAGCTCCAACTCTGTCAAAGGCAACTGCACTTGTCTGGTCTCACCATGTTTGTTATCGATCCTTTTCACAATCGATCGCTGATAGTCAACACCACAAATCAGTCGTGCCAGTTTCAGATACCTCGGACTCACTAACATGGAAGCGATGGCATGGCCCCCGCGAAGACTAGTTTCCTTAACAGGAGCTGTTTCACTTCTATGTTAGTGGGCGAGGGTGTACGAGCCGATCATTTTAATTTACGATCATGATCAAGCAAAATGACATATATATATATATACAGTAGATATTTTGGCACTGGTTTTCATCGTCTCAGGTCTCTTCCATCTGAGGAGCCCGCACCAGTCAGTGCCTCACTGGCTGCAACACCCAGTGCACCTTGTACAAGAAAGGGGCAACTCCTACACCTTGGTCCACCGCGGTTCCAATGATTTCGACATCTACCACATATACATACATATATATAGTTCTTTTGAAGGACCGCCTTTTCAACTTGGGCTTGGACTTATACAACTACCCTTCCCGCTTCTAATGGCAACTATAGGATGAGAGATCTTGCCTTTGCTCGAGTATTTTGCTCATTGACTACTTGCCAGACTGCCATTTACAAGGCTGAAGGCCTCAGGTCGTGGGTCTTGGGGCCAGTGGCTTTGACGCATCTTCTTTAAAACTTTACCATGCATTCTGTGCGGCCCATGACGTGTGACTTGTTTGAGACTCTTTGCCCGACCCCTTGGGCCTTTGCCTTGGACAATTGGAAATGGTGGCCTTTCCGACCGGATTGGCTCTAAAGGATCGTCGCGGACACATGCCTTGCGCAGACTTTTGAGAGTGGCCTCCTAGTTTGCATGAAGTGTGGCTTCAAACAGATGTGCACTCCCTGTACTTTCGATCGGGTGACCGGGTGGTGTTCCCAGCTGGAGGTTCCAGATGCCCCCCTTCCACCACTTGCACTATAGCACACTATAGCCCTATCTAGCTAGATTGATGTAAGTCCCTTCTGAGAGATGGCTCCAGTTGCCGATGTCGGGCCTGCTGCCGCTGCCGCCGCTGAGCGAGAGCCCCTTGCAGCGGCTTTGCTCGCTGCCCGGGTGCGTGGCAGTGTGTGTGGGTGAAGACATGTTAAAACCTTGGTAACCCAGTCTTGGCAATGGAATAAGCCTTCAATGAGATCACTGGAAATTATTTCTGTTGCCGCGCTGCTGTGCGGGCCCAAGTCGGTAGGCCTCGAGGCACTGAAGACCTTGGTGGCCATTTCGTGACAACCATGCTTGCGGTAGTTGTGCTCGGGGGTCTCTTTCCCCACAGCTGGGGGGCAGTGACCTTCCCGGAGCCCACGATTGGGCTTCAGAAGTTGTCACTCACAGCCGAGCAACAGTGGATGGAAGAACACTGGCCCGGATATCACAATGGTGTCAACTTGGGAGGGCACCTGGTGATGGAGAACTGGATGTTCATGCGCAGTGAGCCACCCTTTAGTGATGCTCACATCCAGCTAGACTACTCCCAAATTCCCAAATTCAATAATAACATGTGGTCTGCAGCCTTGCGCGAGAAGGCCGCAGGAAATTTGCGGGGACAATCTTCAGATTTGGCTTTTGAGACTTTGTGGTGTCACATGGATAAGTACTACACTGACTCCATGCTAGATGAGTTTGCAGAGTTTGGCATCAATTCAGTCCGTGTTCCGCTTGGTTATTGGATTTTCGATGACCCTGAGCTCTTTCCCGGCGATGAATGGCCTGTGCCACTGACCACTGGCTCGCGGCCGTATGGTGTCAATCCTGAAGGATTTGCGACTCCAGGGACGCTGGCCCTCTCCAATATCATTGCCAAGCTTTGGAATCGAAACATGAAAGTAATGCTAGACATGCATGCATTGCCAGGTTGCAGCTCACCCTACCAGTCCTATGCAGGCATCGAGTGTGGTGCGAAGGCGCCCAACTTCTGGGGGGGCTTGGCCGAGGAAGGCATTTCGCAGGCGGAAGGAGATGATCGCCACCCCACCACCCGCGCCAAGGATGGTAAGACCTGGGCGGATGTCTATGAAAAGCTGGCGAAGGAACCGTTTTGGCATGTGCTTCTTAAGTGTGTGTCACACTCTGTTTCCAAGAGTTTTCCAATGTTTCCGGTTCACTTCATACAGCAGGGGGCCATCCCCCTCCGCAGTGGCGGATGGCCATCGAAGAGGCCACTGGGGAGGGCTGCAAACGTACCTGCTGAACTGTTGCACAAGCTGTTCTCCTTTCGGTTTGCTTCTCATGGTGGTTTTCATGCTATTCCCCTAAACCTCCCCTTTTTATCTGCTAAGTATTCAGTAAAGTGCTAACGTGTCAACGTTGTTCAACATTTCAGTTAAGCCGACTTTGCGCCTTTCCGTTCCCTCATTCATTTCACTGCCTATCTTTCTTTCTTGACCTTTTCGTTTTGCTCTTTCTGTCTTTCTTTCTTCTCCAAGGCTTTTTAGTTGACTATTGAGGTTTCGCGCCGCAAGGCGGCCATGTGTGTGTGTGTGTGTTCCCCTTGTAGTCACAGGGATTCTTTTGAATTGGCATTAGGTCTACCTTTGTTTCAAGCAGGGGGGTGCAAGCAGCCCATCCAGTCTTGCACCAACACTGGATGTGTGCTGGTGAAATCAATCCGGGACGCCAGATTGACGTACCTGCTTGGAGAGAAACCTACTTAATGGACAAGCTGTTCCAATTCTGTGTTTTGCAGTAAGCGGCTAATGCAGCGGTGAATTTCCTTGAGTGTTTGGACCTTTGGAGCTCCGCTGACTTGCACAACCCGTCGTCACCCTGTCGTCGTCGTTCGCTCTCGTGTTCATAGGTTTGGAGGCCTCTAACTTACTACCTGGAACCTTAGGCGGTTTTACCTAGGCCGGCGTGTGGCACCGCATTCACATCCGTACGCATTTCTATATGTGTGTCTCTCCTCGTTAGATCTCAGGGTGAGCCCGAAGAGTGCCCCCCTGTGGACCCGTCGAATGGGTGTTAGTCCTCGTCCCTGCGCCCGGGACCAGAGCAGCTCGCAGCGAGCATAGGTGGCCTAGGCCGAGAGAACTTCGACTTATGTCTTACGTTTGGAATTCCAAGTTGGCTCATGCCTTTACGTGACCGCAGCGGTCAAAGGTGGCAGCCCTCGGGCAAGCCGTACGTGGCCGCAGCGGCCGAAGCAATTTTCGGGTCCATTGGGACCCGTCGCTACCTCAGGTGCACACGCAGCACGTACTTGTCCAACAAGGTTTGCCTAGGTTTTCTAATGAGGTTTCGGGCTCATTGGTTTTCGTCCCCTCCATTTGTTTCCCTTTTCATCCTTTTCCCCCTTCATACACACACACACACTTTGTTTCCTCTTTTCTTTCATGTCCTCCTGTCTTCATGTTTTGTCATCTCATCCTTTTTTCTTTTGCGCGCACATCGGTCCTGGCCTTAGTGTGTACGTGCACTTTTACATACATTTGCAACCTAGGTTTCAGGTTGCCCAGGTCTTGATAATGAGGTGGGATTCATCGGTTGTCCCTGTGCACTTGGTTCCCCTTTCATCGCAACTACGTACCTTTCCGTCCTGTCTTGTCTTCTCTTCATGTCTTCATCTTTTTGTCTTTGCTGCGCGCGCATGTGCGCATTTGCCCTTACCTTAGTTTTTCTCGCCTCCCCTCGGGGAGGCGTGTGAGTGTGTGTGTCACAGGGATTCTTTTGAATTGGCGTTTGAGTGTTTGGACCTTTGGAGCTCCGCTGACTTGCACAACCCGTCGTCAACCTGTCGTCGTCGTTCGCTCTCGTGTTCATAGGTTTGGAGGCCTCTAACTTACTACCTGGAACCTTAGGCGGTTTTACCTAGGCCGGCGTGTGACACCGCATTCACATCCGTACGCATTTCTATAAGTGTGTGTGTGTAACCCTTGTAGTCACAGGGATTCGAATTGTTTTAGTCAGCAGGGGGACTGGAGCCGATTTGCCTATCCAGTCCAACGAAGCTATGGCATTTCGGTGGATGAGTGGTCTGATCAACCACTTGTACCGCACAATTTTTAACCTTTGGTAAAGTGCTAATGCAGCCGCAGTCACGCGCGACACGCCGTCACCCTGTCGGTCCGCTTTCGCCTTGAGCTTTTGGCCCCATTTCCTCTTACAGACCTCCAGGTTCTTTAGGACTTTCCTGGGCCTTTCAGGATTTGGGTTTCTTAGGCTGGCGTGTGGCACCGCTGTCAAGTCAGTACGCATACCCATATGTGTGTTTGGCCTCGTGCCAACCCGGGATGAGCCCGCAGAGTGCCTCCCGTGGACCCGTTGAACGGGGGTTTGTCGCTGTTTCCCTTGCTTTGGAAACGTAAGTGCCCACAGCGGGCGAAGCTGGCTTATGCCTCAAGAAGTGGGATGTTTGTCTCATCTTTGGAATTCCAAGTTGGCTCATGCCTTTACGTGACCGCAGCGGTCCAAGCTGGCTTAACGCCTCAACGTGGTCAGAGCGACCGAAGTACTTTTGAGGTTCATTGGAACCTGTCGGACTCTTAGGTGCACACACATTGTACACACTTAAACGAGGCAGGTCTTCCTAGGTCGTTGTATAATGAGGTCTGGTTTCATCGGTTCCCGTCCCCTCCATTTGGTTCCCCTTTCATCCGTTCCCCTTCACACACTTCTTTTTCTTCTTTCTTTTCATGTCTTCCCTTGCTTCATGTCTTTTCACCTGACTCCTTTCGTTCTTTTGCGCGTACAACGGTCCGGGCCTTAGTGTGTACGCGCACATCTACTGCCAACTCAGGTTTCAGGTCGCCCAGGTTTCGACAATGAGGTTTCATCGGTTGTCCCTGTGCATATGGTTTCTCTTTCATCGCAACCACACACACACTTTTGTCCCGTCGTCTTCCTTTTCATGTCTTCATCCTTTTGTCCTTGCTGCGCGCGCATTTGCACATTCGTCCTAGCCTTAATTTTGCCTTCGGGGAGGCGTGTGTGTGTGTGTGTGTAACCCTTGTAGTCACAGGGATTCTTTTGAATTGTTTTAGTCAGGGGACTGGAGCCGATTTGCCTATCCAGTCCAACGAAGCTATGGCATTTCGGTGGATGAGTGGTCTGATCAACCACTTGTACCTGCACAATTTTTAACCTTTGGTAAAGTGCTAATGCAGCCGCAGTCACGCACGACACGCCGTCACCCAATCGGTCCGCTTTCGCCTTGGGCTTTTGGCCCCATTTCCTCTTACAGACCCCCAGGTTCTTTAGGACTTTCCTGGACCTTTCAGGATTTGGGTTTCTTAGGCTGGCGCGTGGCACCGCTGTCAAGTCAGTACGCATATCCATAAGTGTGTCCCCTCTGGAGTCACGAGGTTCCTTTTGGATTGCTTCCTGATGTTCTTTGAGTAGGGGGACGGGACACCACTGGCATTTCCCGTCCAACGAAGAGGGTGCTAGTAGGTGCTGATGCAGTGGGGGACGCCCCGCTGCGTACCTGCTCTAGGTTTTAAGTTTGTGTTTGTATCTTGTGAACCTGTAGCGCTGGCCTCAAACCTGGTGCGATGGCCTCCAACGCACTAGAACTGACCCCCAACCTTGTTGTTTTACTGGTGCTTTTGTCAACTTGTAGCGCTGGCCTCCAACCTGGTACTCTGGCCTCCAACCTACTAGCGATGACCTCCAACCTTGTTGCTTGGTGTCGCTTTCAGCTTGTGCACCTAATCTACTAGCGATGGGCCCTCAACCTGCTTTCGACGGCCTCCAACCTTAGAGCGATGACCTCCAACTTTATTGCCTTGGTTTATTCAGCTTTTTTAACTTAGGTTGCCATGTGGCGAGCGGCATTCGAATCAGTACGCATTTCTACAAGTGTGTTTTGCTCGAGAGCCCAGGGTGACCCCGAAGAGTGGACCCGTCGACCGTCGAACGGGGGTTTGTCGAACGTATCCCCCTGCCCGGATACAGAGCAGCTCGCAGCGAGCGTAGGAGGCTTACGCCAAAGTTATTTGCCAAGACTTGATGAATTATCGAGTACAAGTAGGCAGCTTTCTGTACCTGCCGAAGAAACCTTTGTTTACGCTGTGGCTCCACTCCTCTTTTTGTTTCCATGGTGGTTCTGCACGCTACTCCCCACAAACAGGTTCCCTCCACATTGCAGCTGCTGATCGCCGCCAGTTCGTTGAGCTTTTTTGAAACATTTGTTCAACATTCTGTTGATCGCGGACTTTGCCACCATTCCGTTCCATCATTCCTTTTTCTCAAGGAATTGAGTTAACTAAGTTAACTCCAAACCCTATGACTAAGTGTGCGCCACTCTGTCGTCCCACTGGGTGCAGAGTGTGATCTCCCGCAAGGGAGCGCCGAGACCATTGCGAATCGCATATGCGTTTAGCCGCTTTGCTTTCGGGAATCAGGTTACTGACCCATTCTGTCTCAGAGTCTCACCCATGAATCTTCTGCCCCCAATGCTGCCGAGCTACGGGGTTTTGACGACTTGTTTTCGGCAGTGCTTTCAAGGTTCAAGTGCAACTTTCCGCATCTTTTCAGGTTTCATGCGATTCAAGTATGCTGACACATTACCAATCAATTTTTCCAGAATTCGATTCAGCGAATGCAATTTCGCTCTGGGGCTTGTCCACCTCTCCAAAAAGGACACGCAGCATCCGACTGCAAACGATTTTTGCAGCGACCCAAAAAGACAGCTGTCGTTCTTTGGAGCGCCGCTAAGCGGCTCTGTGTGTGTGTGTGTCACACTCTGCTTCTAAGAGTTCTAAGAGTTCTTTGTTTTGCAAAAGCAGGGGCGTCAGGCTCGATACACCTACCTGACGCAACGAAGCTATGGTGTATCGAGGGAAGGGGACTGATCATCCACCTGTACCTGCCGAAGAAACTTTTGTTTACGCTGTGACTCCACTCTCCTCTTTTTGTTTCAGTGGTGGTTCTGCACGCTACTCCCCACAAATAGGTTCCCCTCCGCATTGCAGCTGCTGATCGCCGCCAGTTCGTTGAGCGTTTTTGCAACATTTGTTCAACATTCTGTTGATCGCGGACTTTGCCACCATTCCGTTCCATCATTCCTTTGTCTCGAGGAACTGAGTTAACTACAAGCCCTATGACTAAGTGTGTGTGTCACACACTCTGTTTCCACGCAAAAGAAGTTCCATTTGAGCGCCGCGAAGCGGCCGAGTGTGTGTCACACTCTGTTTCCAAGAGTTTTCCAAGGTTTCCATTGACCTTGACACTTTGGGCCCTGAGCTCCGTGGACATGTTCGACCCGTCGTCACCCTGTCGTCGCCGCTCGCTTCCTTTTACTACCTGGTCCCTGAGGCAGTTTACCTAGGCCGGCGTGTGGCAACCGCAGTCGAGTCAGTACGCATAATCTTGCGTGTGAAGCCACTAGGACGGCGCCGGAGGCCCATAGAGCTGTGCCCAACGGAGCTCGCTATGGTGTCCTTCGGGTATGCAGCCTGATCAGCTGCACGTGCCTGCTTGAGTGCTAAAGTTCATTTCCTTATGGCTCTTGATTGTAATTATATAGTTGTAATTAGAACAATGTGTCGAGCCTTTGCAGGGTTCTTCATCGGCAGATGTGCGTCTTGAGTCTTGGTGTTTCAACTTTGGACTTTGGCGTTTTGGGATTGTGGTGCTGCTAAGATGGCCAGACCGCCTTACATAACCTTTCCCGGAACTCTCAGGCTATCAAACCTAGGTGAGCGTGTGGCATGAGGCATTCAGTTCAGTACGCAATATCTCGAGTGTGTGCGTGCGCGTCTGTCCCTTTTCCATTTTTCCGGTATACAATTTCCCGTATAGTGCTTTCCGAACGTTACTGCAGCCAAATTGCCAGGAGCGGGTGGTGCCCTACATTGAGTTCATCAACGGCTTGATGCCTGGTGCCATCGTGGCATATGAAATGATGAACGAACCCGACCTGCTGCAGTGGGATGCCACGGCGGAGGCGGTGCGAAACTCCACTATGGATTTGGCCATGGAGATGATGAACTTAGAGGGTGTGGCCTTTGGCCTGAACGATGGTGCTCATAACTATGGGGCAGAGCTCATGGCGGATGACCTCTTGGAGTATCCAGAGTACAAAGACAGATACTGGTTGGACATCCACCACTACTTCAATTGGCCTGCAATGTGCAATGTCTATGGGGAGACTAGCTACATTGACATCCCATGTGTTTGCTCAGCCAACATCCCCGGTTCTGAGCATGAATATGAGCAGGGAGCTTGGGCTGGCTTCATGAAGAAGGGCCTGCTGGATCAAGGCTATCGCTTGTACATTGGCGAGTGGAGTGCTGGCCTGCAAGTAGCAAGGAATTGCAACAACCCCACGAAACTGCCCAATGCGAAGCAGGCGCAGGTGATGTGGAGAGCGCAGAAGTTGTCTTTCCTGAGTCAGTACTTGCACTATGCAGGCAAGGCCAAGGATCAGTCTTCTTCCTTCTTAGGCGATTTCTACTGGGCAGGCCGCATGGGCCACAATTGGAATGCGGACCCTTCAGTCTGCTGCTGTGACGAGGACCCGAATTGGGTGGACTTCGAGTGGTGGGACTGGAGCCTCCTCAACATGATGAGGTGGGTGCATGTCACGTTGGACACTCGCTTTCTTCTTTGATTTGGACTCTTCAAGGGTGAACCTGAACCCTCGTAGTCTTGTGGCAAATAGTGTATCAGTAGTGCGGACATTCACGAGCTCAGTGTGTCCCACCCGCGCGGTAAGCACTCGTCAAGGCTTGGACTTGCACAGCCTCTTTCGAAATTGGGCTGGACGTCGGAGACCATCGCTGAGCAGAAAGAGAAGACCTGTGAGGGATCCTTTCTCATCCGATGCGGCCCTTTCTGAGACAAATCTCATAATAACAGACCTACTGTAATTGGTTTTGAAATGGCTGTGGGTCAAAACTCTGTAACCCTGGTTGACCGCTGAAAATGACAGATTCCTCTGCAAGGGATGTCAATACACCAGGATTTGGGGCTCCAGGTTTCGACCCACAGCCAAATGTGTCCATTTGATGCACTGAAGCTGAATTTGTGGCTTTGTGTTTTGTGCCCGGATTTTACTACTTCATGCTCCGCTGGCACCGAGAGCATGGAGAAATCTCGAATTAACATTGTGCCAAGCCACTACTGTGCTGAGGAAATCAGTCCTTGTTGGGCTAAGTTTGAGTCGGGTTGAGGTAGCTAGATCTCCCCTACTTTCCATGCATGCCTGGCAGGACTGTCAATGCAGATGGACTTTTGCAAGTGTCTCGAAATCAGAGACTTATAGGTACAGTTTCTTTTTTTGCACATTGGAGGGAGGTTTGGCATAGAGAAACCTTGCATAATGCTGTGGCCACATGTGCCAATAGATTGAAGCTGGCAAACTAGAGCCGGAAGAAAAGTCTCAACATGCGCGATTATTTTGCCTGAGTGTTTTGCTCATCAGGTCACCTGATTCTCGCTTTGTGTCTTCCATGCCTTCCAAGTGAAGGCACTTGGCTTTTGTTTGGCAGGCACCTCGTGGCAACGACCGGAGATGGGAGCCACTTTTCTCAGACCAGCCGTTGCTAGTTTTTCCCGCTTGTTTGGGTTGGTGGAAGTCCTTGAACAGACGCGGCTGCGGGCACCAGCAGATTTGCAGAGCCTGACCTGAGGCATTTTGCTATTCAGCTCTCAAAGCGCCTTGTTCAGCTAATGTGGGGCTTCAGAACCTCCATCAATGTATATATAACACATACATACATATACACACACACACATATATATATATATAGATGCGGCATGATGCAGCCACTCTGGCCACGCCACCGAAATTCCTGCTTCTGCATGTGTATATATATATATACACACTCTATCTCTGAATTCATTGTGGGGATTGTTGCCACAAGCAGGACTTCGGTGTGGGAGCAGAGCGCACGGGTGTTCTTTGAGTAGCGCCATTGACACATATCAACTTGCCATATGCTGCTGATGCTGCGTGAAACAATGACCAGGGCAAAGTCTGATTCCACAGAGATGACAGAACCGTTTCTTGCATGTGATTAGAGCAACCATGCATGGTTGAGAACATCGAGATTGCCTGACTCTAGAAAGTCCTGTTGGCAGTGCACAAGATGTGGGTTCTTGTTTCAGCTCTCCAAGCGACACTGCTGTGGGCCGCGAGAATAGAGAATTATAGCTCGGGTCCAGCCGTGTGACTCTCCACCTAGGCGTCTTGCCATGCTTGAAGCAAAGCTGGCGCTTGCCACAGGTCGCCTGTGCGCTGGCTGCAGCGTCTCTGCCCAGTGGCAACGTCATAGTGCTGGCAGGCGACATGCTTCCAGTCACAGTCTGAAGATTTCGTGTTATTTGTAGAGCTGATGTCTCTTGGGACCACGAGTTGTTTGAGATTTGGGTCCATTCCACGCACTGCACTACCAGTGGGCGTAGGCACGGAGACGGTTCAATGCCGCAACACCTCACCTTCAGGCTCGGTGACAGCCAGCCCTGCCTGCGCGCAGGCACACAATCAGGAGATGTGGAGATTGCCGGACCTGGAGAAGAAGTACTGGTGGCACGCTCACCGCAGCCAAGTTGCAGAAAACGGGATTCAGTTTGCGCACACTTCTCATTGGGTGAGGGAGTTGGTCTGAAGTGGTAACTCAGACAACTTCAACCTTGGCACCGGCTCTTGTGCAGATTCAGTCGGAAAGGTGGAATGAGCGATGCCAGAGCCTGTTTTGCCTTTTGAGATGATAGATGTTGCAACACCTGGCTGACAACGTGCTTGGCTTTTCATGGGCTAAGGGCAGTAGCAGCACCCGCGCAAAAGTAATGTCAAGAGGTGCTACCTCAAGCATCAAGTGGACCCCCCGCTTCGAAGGTTGGCACCAGCTGCTGTGACAAAGCTGCTTCTTGGACCTGCCACTGATGGACTTGGAGGCCGTCATTCCATCCAGCCTGAAGTTCATTAAATGCTAGCTTGCAGCCGACGAATTCTTAACTAATCGGCACCGAACTGATACTTCTTCCTAGCAGGTTCCTAGCAGGTCATTCCATCCAGCCTGAGGCATCCTCGCAGACGCCAGCGCCGATGGGCCGCGTGCCCTTTTTGCTGCAGGCAGCGACGGCCGCGTGTGGCGGGCGTGGCTTCCGGAAGAGACGCCCATAACACGTGGTCGTGATGACAGCTTTGTGCAGCTTGTGGCTCATGCGATCGCGGAAGCTTCCGCAACTTGGAGTTTCCAAGGGGCAGGCGGAGGAGATGATAATGAGATAAAGATTAACCTTGCGGATAACTGAAATGCGGAGTTGACCGCCCCTCACAGCTCTTTAGTTCTTCCAACAGCGCTGCCCGGTGTCTAGTTCAGGTCTGTGCCGAGCTCTTGTCGCCTGTTGTGGAGCTAGAGCTGTGCACGCTGACTTCGAGGCTACTTGTCACAGCCTCAGGGAGCGGCTCGAACCAAACAGGTTTTTGGACTCAGAACTGTCTTTGGAGACCATCTCGGACCTAGACTTGAGATCTGCACGCTGCGCATGCTGTTTGGGGATGAATGAGACTCCTAGCACCAGGTCTCGACCTTTGAACGCATTGCCGTGATTGGCGATGCTTTGGCAGCGGAAGTGTCCACCGTATGTTGGGTGTGGCGCTGAGGACGGATGAATTTGGTCCAGATGCAAGCGAAGGCGAAGTAGGACATAGGACCAAAGTGAGATCAGTGATCTCAGTGGTGTTCAAGTCTGTATGTTCGTAGTTGTTCCAGTCACTTCGCATCACCCCCGCTTCACTTGGCTGCACTGAGGTGGGGTCCAAGCCTCACAAAGGTCGTCTCACCGCCACCTTCGGCCGCTTCTTCGGTGCTGACGCCATCATTGCACCACGCCCGGGCGGGCGGCTCTGGGTGGCCGACGGCAGCGGGACTGTGCAGCAGCCCGGCCTGGCAATTGCGTGATGGACGGATGGATGGATGGATTGAAAGAATGTCAATAGGGATGAGGTCCCAGTATAGTCGCTATACAGGTACATGCCATATACTTTTGGCTCAAGTGCCCAACCAGGTAAAAAGGAGCTTTAGCGCGCGAGCTTCATGTTGAACTAAGGGCTAGAACGGGGCCAGGGCACACCTTTCCATCCGTTCGCAGGTTATCAGCCGTATCCAGACTCCTTTGAGCTGGGTACGAGCTACGGCCTTACACAACACCATCTAAACGCACACGCATCGGATAGATCAGTTACCCTCAGTCACTGAAGATGGACCAATCCGACGCCAGCACTGCATCTTTTGGAGCAGCTGCTGCGGCCGCAGATCGGATGAGTGCATCCCACAACTCTAGTCCAGGTACGATCGAAGTGGAGACTCTGGCAGCGGTGAGAGAAGGTGCGACAGGTAGAGCACGAAGTCGTTCCCCGTCAGCGCACTCGACACCACCGGGGGGGACACCGAGATCAGGCCATAGCCCTAGGGAGACAAGGAGGAGGACTGACACCGGAGCTGTGAGAGTGTTAGCATTGGAGGATGGGTCAACTGTACCCGTACCGTCGGACAGCGAAGCTGGAGATGGAGCAAGGGCAAGCACTGACATCCTACAACTAGCACGGGCCGATGGAGACCTCAATGCGAAGTGTGCACAACTACTTGCTGAAGTGCATATGTTGAACCACCAAAACGCATGGATGGTCGAATGTGAGCAGAGACAGAATCAGATTATACAACACGAGACCGAAGTCCACGAAGTAGTGATGGCACACCTCGAAGAATGTTATGTCGAAGGATATGGAAATCAACGAAGAATCTCCCAACTTACAGAATCCAGAGACTGTTTGCTCTCAGCAGCACACGATTTGCAATACCAGATTGACACTGATCGTGTGGCAATGCGGGATCGTCTCACCCAGATAGGGGAGTACGCTGATCGCAACAGCGCAGAGATGGTTAGTCAAGTTGTGAACATCGGCACGGAAGAGATCCAGGCTATATCGGCGGAAAGAGATCGAGCCGTAACCGAGGCCATGACTACAATCGCAGATGCTGAGAACGTCAAGGATCTGTGTAGACAGGAGTTGGTTGGACTACAAAGACAGAGTGCCAGAAACAAACACGAATATGCTGAAGAAATGAAGATGAGGGAAGCAATGTATACAAGCAAGATCAAATGGTTATCAGAAGAGAATGAGGAGCTCAACAACCGATCTAATAATCAGGACAATTTCATCATGACCATCAGGGAGCAATTGAAGAGGGCGAACGAGGAGTTGACACAGGCGAGGATTCAAGGATCCGGTCGACCGTCTCAACCATCCAACGCCGAACTCAAGAAAGCCGAGGTCAAGGTGAACATGTTGGAAGAGGACATTCTACGTAAAGAGAGGATGCTGAAACGTCTTCAGGAAGAATTGATCGAATCAAGTGCAAGTGAAGCACAACTGAAGATCGCACTGGAGTTGAAACCACCAGACATGGGATCAGAACCCAATGTGGAGAACGAGATGATGACCAAGCTTAGAGCGGAACTTGGACGTACCGAAAAGTTATTAAGGTCCGAGGAGAAAGAGGCAATGGAGTACTACGAAGGTATGATGCAGAACCAACAGGACATGATGGAATCCGAAGCGCATGCAGCACGGCTCAGAGATGAGAGGAATAAGTACCGGAGGAGGTACGAAGAGGAGCGCTTGAATGCTGAGAATGCAGCCGCAACCGAGCATGGTGCCGCTTCATCCTCTAGCTCGGGTGGCTCCAAGATATCTCGGAAGGAACACGAGAAGATCAACATCCCTGCATGGCCCAAAATACACGACCTGGAGGTTTGGAAATCCCAGGTTGTAGCGGCAGTCGTGACGGCATCGGGCGACGAAAGACAAGAAGACTGGATCCAGTGGCTCTCGGATGCCTTCAGATCACCGTATGACCCATTTCTGCTCGAGACATCAGGCGAAGCAAGATTCGCTAGCATAGACGCTAAGCTAGGTATCACCCTACATACGATCATCCACGCAGCAGGTGAGAGATCTCATGACGTACAACTGAAGGTGAGACAGATGATGCAAAGACGTGCGAGAGGCACAACTCCTGGAATGGTCAAGGGACGAGAGATGTTAGCGTTGATCGTCGACAGCTTCCGGAGTGCCGACAACGTCGATGTGATGTATGCATCCAAGCACTTATTCGATCTAAAGTTCCCTGGGGATAATCAACTATCCAGATTCCTTGGACAGTGGGACGAGATCATATCAGGTATGGATGCGGACGACATGCTTCCTGACAAAGCACTCCGCAACCTGCTTTGGGACAAGATTAAGGATTCCAAAGTTATGGCGTTAGACTTGTCTGTGTACGACAACATGTTGGATAAGGATCCGGATAAGACCTACCAGAAGTTACGAGAGATCATGGCGAAGTGGATACGGAAATCAATCGAGACCACAAACAAGAAAGAAAGGGAAAAGGCCTTTGGGAACCTCGTGAAAGCCACACCAGCGGCGGAGAAGAAGGACCCTAAGGCGAAACCCAAGAATACCAAGGCCGATCCACCGAAGGACGCCGCTCCAGTACTTCCTCAGGCTAATCCGAAGGACCACAACAAGAAGGACAAGAAGCAGGATCGTGGAAGATCAACCACGAAGAGCCCAAAGGGGGATCGTGGCAGGTCAGCGACTCCAGCAGATACGTCCAAGATAGGATGCGCCTTCCACTTCCATGGGAAAAACGGATGTTCTAGAGGAGATAAATGCAAGTTTAGTCACCAAGAGAAGCACAAAAGTTCTGCTAAGAAACCAGAAAGCCTCAAGGGTGACAGATCGAAGAGTCCTGGTGGCAGGAGCACTAGCCCTAAGCCAATGAAGGATCAGGTCTGTTGGAATTGGCAGAAAGGATCGTGCAAGTTCGGGGACAAATGTCGACGTCAGCATCACGCTGCTCCTGCTACAAAACAAGAGGCTAAAGGCAAAGCCAAGCCCAAACCGGCTGCGCCAGCCTTCATGCTTTGCGGAGACATCGAGAGTGACGGCGAGGACGCGCAACCCGCACTTCCCAACGTACAACAAGGTAAGCTGGCGCTTCGCTTTAAAGTCAGATTCGATGATCAGGCGAATGTGACCACGTTCACCTGTGATCCTGGTAACGAGCTAAACACCCGTCCCCTCAGGAAGAAGAAGAATGAGGTGCAGAAGGTGGATACCGAGCTCATTTCGTCGTTGAGAGCCCTCAGAGTGAGCAATATAGCTGCACGAGTAGCACATGCCAAAGGTAAAATGATGGAGCTATACTCTGCTGAACACATTGCCAAGGCATGGATACAAATCACTCAAGATGAAGGAATCGAGGTGAACGTCGACCTGTCTGACTTCAACACCAGCGAGGTAGTAAGGAAGGATTCTGTCAACTACACGATACCGGGAGACACGATGTTCATGGCTGTGGAGAGGTATGATGGACCACCGATACGCTTCATCATGGACACGGGATGTGGACACGACTTGATCTCAAGAGAGAAAGTCAATACCATGGGCCTTACCACCAAGGAAGGACCCAAATCCGTGAGCTTCATGACAGCGAATGGTGTAACTAGTACATCAGAGATGGTGGACATCAATGTGGACGAACTACCCATGATGTCCGAGGCACACGTGTTGGAGAGCACACCATCAGTCTTTTCCATCGGGAAACGGTGCATGGAACAAGGGTACTCATTCATATGGCCGGCAAACCAATTGCCATACCTCATCGACCAGAACGCGAACAAGATCCCGCTATCGGTGCATGACAACATACCCTACATCAAGGTGAATGATGATGACGGGAGATGTTTACCAAGACCAGACGGCTTGGCTACGATACTTCATCGCATACTGTCAGGTGTGGGGCATGAGGACGAGGCCACAGCAGGTCAGGAGACACAACAGGAGGAACCTCCGCCTAAGAAACCACGGAGACGGAGGAGAAAGAAGAAAGGTAACCAGAGAGATCGGGATGGTGAGTCTGATATCAATCCAGCTGTTGCAGGCGTCGACGGAGAACCAGAGAGACACGGTGATGATTCTCCTGAAGAGGAATATGACGGGGAAGACCCGAGATTCGACAGTGATCACGATGGTCAATCTGAAGATGCCGGAGGCGACGAGTGTGGAGGTGATGCGGATTCTGAACGAGAGGAGAGTGACATTGGTGAAGATGAAGAGGGACTATTGGAAGTCGATGTGGTTGACGGGGAAGCCAGACTATCAAAACCAGGAGTGCTGAAGAACGAGGCGAAATCCATATTGCACCTGATGACGCACCGATACAAGAACCCATACTGCAAGTCATGTGTGAGAGCAAAGATGAAGCACTACAAAACTAGCAAGGGAGCTTTCAAACGGAAATTGAAGGCATTCGGTGACCTTATCACTTTCGATCTCATGAACACCCAGAAGATGGCGAGAGATGGGATCATGCCGGATAAGGATGTATTGGTGATTCGAGATCGGTTCACTGGTGTGATATGGGGCTATCCTTTGAAAGCAAGCAATAGTGACGAAGTGGTACAGGCGATGAAGCACTATATCGGTAAGAGAAAGGTCACCAACGCTTACTCGGATGATGCGCCACAATTTGAAGCAGCGCTCAAGGAACTCCGGATTCCACTAGACCAGTCGCTTCCAGGACATCCCCAGAACAATTCACTCGCCGAAAGAAACAATCAGTTCATGATGCTTACCACATCGACATGCCTACTAGAAGCCGGACTACCACCATGTTTTTGGCCATTTGCAGTGGAGTGCGTAAGCCATTTGTTGAACATCGAGAAGCTGAGCGATGGTAGCAGCGCATGGTTGAAGTTGCACAAGAGCGAATTCCCAGGCATGGTGATACCATTCGGGGCGAAGGTGTTCTTCAAACCTAGTGACGCGAGAGAAAGGGACCAGGATCACAAGTTCGACCCCAAGAG